GTGTTCTCTTTGAACTTTAAAGTAGCTCGTTTATCGAGGGCTTGGTTTAGGACATATTTTCTCTGTGTGTGTGTGTGTGTGTGCTAGTAACATGACACTCTAAATTTAATATATGCAGTAACATGTCTATCTGGATCTATGTGCTCGAACCAATTATCTACCATTCTTTGTTTATCGAATACTAAACTTTCATTGTCTCTATTAGTTTTATTCATCTGATTGAATACATGGTGTTGTCCAGATTTTTTTTTTCATTATTAAATATAATATTTTATCTGAATTGAAAATTTCTTTAAAACTATTTAACCATTAATTATTATGTACAGTGATTTCGGCATATAAACACAAGGTATATGTATATATTTTTTCAATAATAAACCTTTACAATACATTGTTTATTTCAAATGACTTTTTTTAAAATATGCAAATACAAATCATTTCATGGTGAATTTTTTCTTATTATTAGTTAAAATGATTCGAGATTGTTACTATTACTTATTTATATAATATTCATATGTTATTTTGCTACTCTATGTATCTATGGTTATATAGATAGATAGATATGGATAGATACAATATGAATCAATTTCGTCATTAGAATGTTTATCATTAACTGGATAGATTGAATTACGGAATGCATTTTTTATAATAATAATAATATTATTATCATTAAAAAAGTTAAATTTTTCGTTTAATTTTGTTTCAAGGTTAGTTAATGAGTTATTAAAACACTGTTGATTCATATAAACAATTGAATGTATGTCTACCGTATATTTTTTCATCTGAATTATAAAATAGACATATTATTTTGCTATGCATATACATATATAAATATAGATATGTATTTTTACAGATGATTTACAGGTTTTTGGAGAAAAAAATAATAATAATGATAGTTAATAAAGGAGTCGAATAAAAATAAAACGGATGTATACAAAAAGTGTTTGTATGTTACCATGTATGTAAATAAACCTTCGATTATTAGAGATTCAAATTGAGGTATTGACATCATATTTATATATATTAGAAAAAAATATATAATATTTTTAGTCAATGTTTTGAATAGTTTAAGAGCTTAACACTATAGTGATAATATATTTCTAGGTGACTATATATACTCGTTTAGACAAATCTAAATAGATAAATGAATAACAGCATCCTGTTATTTATATCAGTTTATATATATATATTATTTAAGATAAGGTTAAAACTATTAGTATTTTAATCACTTACTAGGCACTCAATGAACTCAACTGATAATGTTCTTCCTTACCCCTTGATTAGTACGTTAACCTCATTTGTTATTTATTGTCGAATCTATTTTTTGTGATACAATCCATTCTATCCTTCTATAGACATACATTTTCCATATAACTATATATACGAATGTACAGCCTAAGTAAATGATTTCGTCGAAAAGAAAATTTTCCTCGCTGAATTCTTTTTCTTATTCATTGACACTATGGGTTATTTTAATTATCTGATAATGTAATATCTTCATATTAGGATTTTGAAAAGGAACGAATAAAATACAAATGAAAGACTCGACATAAAAAAAATTTGCTCAAAAATAACTAGTGAAATCAATAATAAATAAAAAGTATAGATGAAAGTGTTAAAGTAAAATAAATAATGATTAGACATTTATTTTATTATAATCATTTTTTAGTAACTATCAGGTAAATAATAACTAGAACGTTTTGATCCTGCGAGATTGTTTAGGCCTAACTTTATTGATTATATCATCTAAAGTTGTATCTTGGTCTGGTTGACTATAATCTTGTTCCAACCTACTTTTGAACTGACCATTACTATCATTTCACACGTGTTGTTAACACTTAAAAAAGAACTGATAATCAATACAGTTTTAAGTAATAAAAAAAATGAAGAGAAAATCTGAATAACAGCTTGAAGCAATAAATGATCAGCATTATAAGTTACTGACGAAGTATACATAACTTGTGTTCATGTGTATATTAACTCACTATTAGACAAACATGAAGCCCACACATTGTACTCACGTTGTTTTTTTTCTTCTAAATGTAACTTATTTACAAAATCACTTTTATTGATTTTTAACTATTAGTGATGATATCTGGTGAAAAGGCAACTTGTGAACAGTGAAAAATAAAAAACAACCTACATAATTTACATATGTTGAATAGAGTCAACAATGTCAGCGTTGATTATTACAATCATCATTTGATGTTGACCTCAGTTAAACAATCTTTTTAAACAGTGATGTTTTTAAATAAATAATAAGATTGTTATTATTATTATTATTATTATTATTATTATTATCATACTGTTTTCATCATTAATCGTTGACAAAACAGACACAACGACGACTTAGTCAACTGATGTTAAAAGTAAATTAAATCGGAATATTGCTTTAAAAGATGTGACAAAAACATGTTTTAATTTTAACTTAGTGAATCGTTCCAACTCAATGTAGATATCATTAGATGTTTTGAATGTTTAGAAGTGAGTGTTTTAGCGCTACGGAGTTTGAACTCACACTTTAGATCTGATGTAAAACTTAAAGACTTTGAATCCTACTCAGGGTGAGGTTGTAAGTTCAAATAGATTACAAAAAATTTAAACTAAAAGAAAGAACTTTTATAATACTTTTTGATTAATACTGGTATTACAGGTGATATCTTTCTATGAGGAAAATTAGTTTTCAATCATTTGTATGGACTTAACCTATAAATCATTGAGCTGGCTAGCATCCAACCGTGTTAATATCTAACCAATTCACGATATTGCGCAACCGTTCAATGGTTTATAGGTTAAACGTTCGCACAAGAAACCGAAAGTCCTGAGTTCGAGTGCCGCGTGAGGGATCGTGGATGTGCACTGTTGAGGAGTTCCATACTAGGACGAGGTGGCCGTTCAGTGATTCGAGGTTTTCAATGATGTTCTAGCTGTAATCGACTCATAAATTCAACTATTGAAAATTACTACAATAAACACAAAACCCTATTCAGATAAATAAAAAAATATATGTACATACTCGCAAAGTTACTTTGAACACACAAAGAAACATTTTTTTTCTAATATTTCTTTTTTGAAACGATTTAACCACCAGAAAATAACATTTATGAAATTAAATTCACCGTGAAAAAAGATTCAGTTAAATTACTGTTATTTTCAATGCACGCAATCTATACAAATTAGGCAGAATAACTTTTTTTTGGTGAATAATCATAAAGATGCAGAGGAAAATTACCCTTAATACTTTCATGATGGTAAAGTTATAACATATATTTTTACCCTCAGGCTGACAAAGAATAAACTCCAACATTTATAATTTTCTCTGTAATCCTACCCCTCCCATATCTTGTCTCTACTGTATGGAAATAGGTGAAAGGTCATGATCAAAATAGAAAAACCCAAGTCATGCTGGATATGATTGGGTCCAGATAATAAACTAAGAATTTATCTTATTTATTGTGTATTTTAACTATTCTGACCTGATCATAAATTCTCTTGCCCTGTAAGTTTATGATGATCAATGACGCAATCATTCGTGTAAAAGCCTGTACACATGTCATATATATATTTAGGGTAGAAAAAAGGATGTACTGTGTTGTTTTATTTTGAGAAATTCTTTTTGTACATGGGTGGTTTTAAAAGAAGTTTTAAAAAAAAGACCACGTGTTGTAAAATTATTCTGTCTCTTCCCCTACAGAGTTGAACATCTGCCATAGTTGTTCGGTCAAATGAAACATTGTCTTGGAACTTAAAGCTGACTATTCACTAAAAAGTGATTGAATTATTAGTTTTTTATTAAAACAAGGGAACAAAAAAGAAAATACACAAATTACGTCATTATACCAGCAGGAAACTAAGTAAACATACAAAAATAGGTTTTGAAGTTTTTCACTTATTACTTTTTTAAAATGTTAAAGCAAGTGATAGTTAAGTGTGTACTTACTCGAAGAAGCAAACATGAGAATCCGTTCTAAGTATACTGTACTTATGTAAGGACAATTATTAAGATAATAATTGAATCAGTATTCACCCTGTTACACAACTTCATAACAGTACTCACTTATTAATCAATGGTATCCAAACCTATCAGTGACTAATTTAAATTTCAAACTATTAGTTTTGATTACAGTGGTCAACATTTCAAGTAATTCATAATATAGAGTGAGTTAGCATCTGACCTTTCATGAGTAGATTTATTTACAACATTTAAAAAGATGAGACAAATTATACCTCCACTTATCCTAAGTCGAATGCCATAACAAATTATATCTAAAATATTTCTTATTTGCATAGTAACAATATACTTTAGAGTATGATTCATGACTAGTTCTATACGATTATTGTAATACTGAAAATGTATATGTACAGAATAATGTTAAAACATTATGGTAAATTCAGTATACTTGTCAAAATGGGAAATCAATTATCAGTTTAGTTACAACTAAGTAAGATTTTGGTGATTATAGCCGCGAATAGATACTTTTCACTTATCGTCCTAATTAAGCTGTAAAATAATGGACGTTTTGGATTTCAGTAATTCGACTAATCTGGTGGTAAACAGTTATGAAATATATGAATAACTCATGGAGATCTGAGTCAAATATGAAATTATTGACTCTCTGAACCTTTGTATAGCTTTGATACCTTGTCAAATTATTTTGTCTTATTTCATTTGTGTGTTCCAGTGGGATTGACTTCAGTTTAGTCTGTTTTTTTCTGAAGAAAACCAGATCAGAAAATACTCAGCGCAGTGTGATGTTGAACAGAATTTAAATATGAACATTAATTTTTAGTTTTACTATTTAGAAAAAAATGAAGATCTTAGATTTAAACCGTCCATCTATAATTCATTCAAATCTTTCAGCTGAATTATGAGTCTACCACTTAAATATATGCTGATTTATTCAATATAGAATAACTTTGTTTTTACAAACTTATTTATTTCCAAAGTTGAGATACGCTTTGAAAAACCAAATCACTTTTTATTGATTATTTTTACATAGTACTGAAGAAGTATTCCCAGAACGACACCGTTCTGCTCAAGGTTCCTACCAGGAGGAACCATTTATAAATACAGATTGCTGTTCAAGATTTGATGTATCTGGTGTAGATCTTAAACAAGCGTCAGCTATTGTAAATACGGTACATACAGTGAACGGAGTACAACAATACACAGAAACAAACAGCGACAACTGCTTATTAAAGCATAATCATTCATACGGCACCAGCGATTACAAAGGTAATCCAAATCAATATTCATGTCCTCAACCAGAATTAAATATAAGCGCCGGCTATCCGATTACGTCTATTCATAATACTACAGAAGAACATGCTTCACTTGAGATTAGCTCTGAAACACAAAGAGCATTGGAATCATCGAATAGTACACCTCCATCAACTGAAAAAACCGATAATCATTGTCAAGAAAAATCTAATTTATTGCTTACTCCGTCTCACCATTCTCCCTTAACCAAAACTACATTAAATAATCAAATGATTAATTCTAACTGGACAAAAAGCGGTCAGTGGAATACCGACTGTTCAGTATCTAATCACCAAGCAAATGAGCGCCAAAATTCCTATTGTTTTGAAAAAGATACAAATGAACATGTATTTTTAGACTATAATGATGCAAATTCAACTGTTATACAATCCCCTGATGCTTTTACAGATGATCAAACAGGTAATAAAATTTACTGTTTGCATTTTAGAATATTTTAATCAAAGAAGCTATATTCCACTCAACTATCATACTGACAAAGAAGTCTTAGATAATTTCATAATCAAATGTTTGTAGTTTAAATAAGGAAAAGTTTTTGTGTGACCAGTGTTTTTCACTTATCTATCAAATACGTATCTAATAAAGTATACCTAGATAGGTAAGTAGACTAAAGAGTTCTTGTCATACAATTGAACAAGTCGTTAAATAAATATTTCTAGAGGATTATTACTTGTGAATATATTACCGTAATCAAACACTATGAACCATGAACCATGAAGTTGTTTTCCATTAATCTTCAATTTTAGAATGACCATAAAATTTTTTATATCAGACTGAGCACCACAAAAACTCACTGAGTTTTGAATTGTGTCAGGATAAATTTTATATCAATACATCAATTATAATTCATCATTTTGAATGTTTGTTTCAACAGTTGATGATGTATAAATGTAAGTCAGTAACTCATATATTTGTATTATGTAAGCAGTGATGTAGTATTCTGTCAGTCAATGATAATAATAATAAGAAAAAAAACGCTTTCAAGTGGACTAATCATACTTTCTTCTTTCCTTCCTCATAGGTCATTCCATAGTTAGTAGTGATGCACAATCATCTGGTGATGAGTCGGATGAAGGAATGAGTTTAGTTAATTTCGAACACTTCACAAATTCAATGCAACCAAATCATGCTGGTTTATATTTCTGTCATTTATGTGATTTTGCAGGTAAGTTATACCATTGTCTATTGATAATGAATCCAAACTAAGCATTTTTACATTTTGATGGTGTTATAGAATCTTGTATTGATTAGGAGGCTCCAGTCTCAGTGTGAAATATACTTGCAGTCAGTGAGTCGCAAAAAAAAACAAAATGGATGTTTCGGATTCTATTGCTATATACAAGCTTTATTGAGTTAACTATCAATTGCATCTTTGATTGTAAATAAGTAGAACGTATACATTTTATTGTAGTTTAATGCATATGAAGAATATCAGTTCAAGAAAACTCGATTTACGAAATTTTGTAAAAAAATTAATGGCTGAAATAATATTTTAAACCCTTCAAGTATGCTAGCTTAGAATATGAGTTGTACTTGATGAGCTTAGATCTATTCATATCATGATCACATAATTTGCTATCATTCAGTCATTAGATAGTTGTTTACTAACTCACAGAAAAGTTAAGTTTTTAATCCTTTCTTCATGTACTTAATTGGAATCAAAATCCTGATATAAATAAAAGATAGTTAAATGACGATAATGAGCAAATAAAGTAGTAAAAACGAATGCGAGTTCTGATGCTTGTCTTTTACCATCTAACAGTGAGATACAATAAGACATTATACTGACCTAAAACTATATCACCTATCATCTTTAGATGATTCATTCTCTCACTAAAGTCGATGATGTAGTTTTGTGTTATTTTTTAAAATAGTACAAACCTTTCAAAAGATTTCCATTTTGAAGTAGTATTCCATAAAATCTTAATACAGGACGTTGTGAACAAAATCTGTTCTGTAATGACTAAAACACTCTTTGAATAGTCTAAGTGTAATTTGCCCATCCATCATGTTAAGTTCCCTGCATTGAGATAAGTGTAAACTGTTGATGAGTTTTATCCAAAGTAAAAACACTCATCTGATATCTTCAGGGATTTCCCAACTAATGCTATATCGTAATAAAGATTATCTAGATAATATAAACTATCTAACAAAAACATTTTATATTCTATCAAAATACAATCCTTCTATCTGTTAAAAGTATTGTAATATTTCAACGAATTCTATCCAAATTGTATATTATGAAAACATTATCTCTTCATGATATTTCACATAAATTAATTTTTATAAAATTATTTAATTAATAATAATTATTATTATTGTTCCCACTTCAGTAATAATCTTGAATGAAAGGACATCAGTATCTTTTTTTTTTTCTTCTTCTTCTTCTTCAAGTTTTAGGTCAAATATATAATTCTACAGTATCTATGTATATAGATGTATGTATATTTCAATTAAGATATATTTATAGTATTTTATTAAAATGTATTATTCTAATAAGAACTTTCATGCATACAATAATATGCGGGTTTAATGTAAACGGAATATTTCACCTGAAATCTATTTTAACTATATACAATCAATTAAAGTTACCTTAAACATTGAGAAATTTTTTTAGAAAACAGAATTAACTTTTGTCTTTTTGTTTGTAAATAGTTTTGCAAAAAAAAACAAACAAATAAAAACCAACCTCTTCATGATTAATTTATTAAAAAATTTGGTGATAATTAAAACTTGTTAGTTTGAATGTTAGATTTAAGATATCAGAAGGGGTTTTGTGGAGATTTTAGAAAGTTCAACAGTTAAACTCATGAGCCAATTGAAGCTAGATCACTATGGAAAACATGGAAGCATTGGACGGCCGTTTCGTCCTAGTACGGGACTCCTCAGCAGCGCACATTCACGATCCTGCCTCGCGAGATTCCAACCCAGGACCTATCAGTCTCGCACAAGAGCGCTTATTCACTAGGCCACTGAGCCGGCTGGCATCCAACGGTGTTAATGTTTAACTTCAAACAATCTACGAAACCGCGCCGCCATACACCGTTGTCTTCAGTGAGCTTTTATCTCACAACAAACCTGGTTGAACTCCACTGGTAACGGCTGGTTGAAGTGAAACATTAACACCGCTGGATGTCGGTTTAGTGGTCTAATGGTTAAGCGCTTACGCGCGACATTGATAGGTCCTGGATCCGAGTCTCGCATGGGGCGGGGTCGTGGATGCGCGGTGCTGAGGGGTCCCATACTAGGATAAAACGGCCGTCCAGTTCTTCCAGGTTTTCCATGGTGGTCTAGCTTCAATTGACTCACGATTTCAACTATTGAGATTTGAGATAGTAAATATTGTAGCTGATCAAAATTACTATTCAAGTTTATATAGTTTAGGTGTATATTCCCCAATGCATAAAATCTTCTAATTCATAACAATATTCTGACATTACTGATTAATATTGTTACTTAGTTATTTATATAAGCTTCAAATATTTAACGGTAAGTGAAATTTCAAATAAAAATAATAAAATTAATAATAAGCGAATTAGTTTTAATGACCTAAAGAACCTATACAACGTTTCTTCTTTTCTTAAGAATTCTGAGTTAATAGTTGAATTCATTTGTCGATCTAAGCTGGATCAGTATTGAAAACCTAGAAGCAGTGGATTGCCATTTCGTCCTAGTATGGACTAACTCAGTAGTGGGCATCTACAATTTCTCACGCGAACACTTAACCTCTAGACTACAGGTCTGTCCAGCATTCAATAGTTTTAATGTCTAACTTCAACCGATCCATGACATTGCACAACCCTTCATCCATTGTTTGAGGTGGATAACTATCGCCATTCGATACGAATTGAACTCCGCTGTTCACAACTTCTCACTAGAATTCCAAAAAATGCATCTTGAAGTTAGCTTAGATAGACTCATGAATTCATATGTCGAAATTACTACAATCTCCACAAATCCCTATTCTGATAATTCTGAGTTAAGCAGTCTTAAATAAAAGAGCAGTGTTTGTTTAGCATACTACTTTGAATAACATAAATTTTCGTTGTAAATATTATTATTGAAAGTAATAGTAGTAAAATCATTTTTAAAAAAAGTGAATATATGAACTGTCAAATAAAATAATGTTCAGTACAATAATAAAAAAATGAAAGGAAGATGAATATTACACTTTAATTTGATCTAGGCAATTAGAAAAGTAAACATCATTTAATTACATTTGAAAAGAATAACAGTCTCTGACAGTGTATTAAACTTTCTTCAAGTTTTAGTCTTTGTGAACACTTTTTTAACTTTGTGATCCTTAAATCCTGTATCATTTATTCAAAAAATCATTAAATTCTAACAGAACATGATTTTTGCTAAGAAATAATGACAAGGTTGTACTATATGGAGTGCTACTTTATATAGTTGAGTTCTTTCATTCAAGTACACTAATTTGAATCATCAATATTGTTGAATAACACTGACTACTCTTTACAATTCATATAAAGTTAACTCTTGCCTCCAAGTTTGTTTTTATAAAATTTGATAATGAATTGAAATCATTTTGTCTTCGAAAGTGAATAATATACATTTTATTCGGTTGACAACAATAAAGTGAGCAGTGATATATTAGAACTACAAATAGTTATTCAATCTTATATAACAGAATAATTAATCTATTTGTAATTTATAAATAAATAGTATATTTGTAATATCCCAATGAGTAGAAAAATTAGATTTTTTGACATTTCGTAATTTAGTGTAAGTCACTTCTTCAGAGGAGAATACTATTTATTTATAACAACTTACCTAATGCTCAATTTATTCGAAATTATCAAATCAAACCTTGATAGTGATACCTACAAGTTTGTGCTTGTAATTTAGTTTGTTTGTTAATTTCTGTTGTAGATCAACTATTTAATTCATCATAAAATAAATCCATTATCAATTCATATAGTTTATCTTTTTATTTTTATTTTTGAAAAAAAACACAACAAACTAAAACTTCTTTTAACTGTTTAATTAACTTTTTAAAAAAGTCCCCTTTTTTCTTTTGTTTTTCATATTTAGCCATTTTATTTTTTCTATTTACCAAAAGGGAGAGTGGAAAAAAGAGTTAAATCTTTTACTTATTACTTTAATCGAAATAGAATCACAATGAAAAACTTATTTCTTTTTCTTTAAGAAAAAAAATTATGCATAAAAATATTTTTATCTTTTTTTTACAAAAAAAACTCATTTAAAATTATAAATTCAATGTTATGTTTAAACAACAGTGCTCGCAAGAGAGAAAGGAAAGAAAACATTCCCCCCTACACACACACCCTCACGCACACACACACAAAACTGAACCTAAAAACGATAACGATATGTTTTTTATAGAAGAAAAAACTGACTAAAAATATCATTTGCTTATTTCCTGAAACTTTGATTTCTTTTACATCCCTTGTTTATTTTTACTTTTATATTTTTGTTGTTGTTGTTGTTGGAGAGAAAAAAAGTTACTGAAAAAATCGAATCAATGTTTTCATTCATCCGTTCATGATGATTCTAAAGTTGAATAGAATATTGAACATTTGAATTTAAAAAAAAGATAACGAAATAATTAAAACAAAATTTATTGAAGATTGATATTTTATATATATTGAATTAGATTAACTTAAAAAGCATATTTCCTAAATAAATAATTAATTATCTAAGAAATGAATAAACCACACTATTTAGATGGTTACATTCATATGAATGATAAATGTCAACTATTTTACACTAGATTAATCTGTATTTTCTATGGGATGAACTAATAAACACTCGAAATTTGTAATTTATACCTATTTATATCTATTTGACTTATTTGTAAAATTTCAGCGAATGAGTTTGAAGTAAATCCAACGTTTTGCCAGGCAATATGGCTCAAGCTTTTTCAAGGAAATATAATGAAACATCAAAATGATAGAATTGGATTTACTTCAAATTTATTCGTTGAGATTTTATAAATACATATTCTTCCTCTTTAATGTTTCATATTAACTCGGCACCCAAATACTGTGAAACTATTCAATCAAATTTAGACGAAAGTTCTTATCTATTTGAGTTAGTTAAATAAATATAGAAAGATAGTGACTGATTGTATGATGATTGAATGAATTATTTAAAGCAATTAGACATTGTATGTTTATTTTT